GAAGCCCCAGGGTAGCTGGTGGAGGTCCCCCTAGAGTCCCCGTGGGTGCCCAATTAGAGGTGGAGCGGGCAGGAGAGAGAGGGAGGGTGGGAGGGAAGGAGGAGGAGAGGAGACAGGAAGGCAAGTGAAAAGGATAAAAGGAGAAAGGGTAGAAAGTGAGAGGGGAAAAGCAGAAGAAAAAAAAATGACCAGAGGGAGAAAATAAAGGGCATGAAAAAAGAGAGAGAAAGCAAGGAAGACAAAACAAAAGTGAGAGAAATGGGGAGAAAGACAGAAGAGACATCCTGAGACAGCGGTGCCAGAAATTCAATTGAGCTTTTTTATTTATTTTTTTACTTTCCATTTTAACATCTTTCCCGGTAAACTCAAAGAAGGTCACATTGAATTTCCATGGAAATGACCCGTCCTGGGCCGTGGGACCCGAGCTGGGCGGAGCGACGGCAGTGATGTTGCCTGTCTACTGGGCCGAACCGAAGGGGCGGGGCTGCAGATGGCCCCGAGGAGCGTGTAAGTTTGCTTTGTATTCTCAGGTTGCCAGAGTGAGGGCACAAAAGCCAATCTTTAACTAGTGAATTGGAACTTTAATGTTTACCAAGCAGGTACAGCTCCCACTCTCCCCAACCCCTCCTTCCCCTGCCAGCTAGCTCCCTCTCTGCTTCCAGGCCTCCTGCTAACTGGTCCCAGCCCTTCCCCTCAACAGCCCTGGTGAGGAGCCCTTTGCTGCCAGAGGAGCAGAGTGCTGGCACTGCTGGCCATGTCGCCTGGTTTTCTCTGATCGGGGTCATCCCTAACTTTGGAAACAGATGAGTTCTTCCTGGAAAACAATTCCCTGCAAAGTCCCAAAGGCAGGGGGAGCTGGGACTAAGCAGTAGGGACCTATTTGAAGGAACAGAATTCTTCCAAGAGTCTTCCTGTGCATACCCAGCCCCAGGGAGCTCTCAGCGGACATCTCCTGCCCGGCTCACAGCTCCTGATCTGTCACGTGTGCCTTGTCTCTAGGCTGCTTCTCAGACCAGTGCTCCCATCTGATATACCCATCTTCCTCCCACTCTCTATTTCCACCTGGCCAATATCCTGAGCAGAACCGTTAAGAAGCTCCTGCACCCAGGAGTCATCTGTCTTCTGTAAAGCAACTGGTTGTACTGGAAAAGAAAAGTGGGTGTCCTGGGTTTCTGTAGTAGACCCAGTGTTGGTCCTGGCTTGGCAATTTATTAATTGTGTGACCTTGGGCAAATTGTTTAATCTCTCTAAACCTGGGTCTCCTCAAGCATGGGGGATGATCATGCTCTCTTCCTCATAGGTGGTTGTGAAGATAAAGTGAGGTAATGGATGTAGCATGCTTGCATCATGCCTGTCAGATAGTACATGCTTAATAAATAGTTACTGTTATTATTGAGCAATTGTCTACACTACCCATATTATAACAACATGCTGTCTGGTACCAATGATGTGTGTGTGTGTGTGTGTGTGTGTGTGTGTGTGCATGGGTGTATGGATTCTGTTTGCAATTTGGACATCTCTAAGAGGGTTGGGGGATACATTTTTCTTATGTGTCTGCCAGGTCTCCAAGCACAGTGCCCAGCACACACTGAGAAAATACTTGTTGATGGATTGAGAAACTGCCCCATGTTGACTGTACCCTATAAATGGTAGAACAAACATTGGGAATGGAAGAGGGTGGACTGGAGAGGGGCAGGGGGCCAGGGGAGTGAGATCGAGTGTGTGAGGGACAGATGAAAATGGAGAGTGGAGAGAAAAGTGGAATCACTCTGCCTAGATGCTGGCGGAAAACACTGATCGAAAGGACCCTGATGAGGGTCTGTGGTTTAGTAATTTAATTCCACTGAAGTCATGCCAAACTCAAAAACAAGAATCTATTTGTGACACTGGTCCAGGGATGACTCCATCAGCCATCCAAGGGACTTTAGTTAGGCTGGTTTCCAGGGATACTGACCTCTGAATTGCAAGAACAGCCACTCTGGTCTGGTGTCTGAGCTCCCACTTATCCCAAGAGAAATGTCACCTCCCCTCCCAGTCCCCAAATGAGAACATATGAGAGGGGTGCCTGTAGCTCTGTCTTTGCTGTTGTTTTGGTCGTGGTCGTGTGTCTGTGCATGACAACAATGGGATTGTTCTCCTTGCTGCCAGCAGGATGCTAGCTAGCTCTGTAACTTGCTGGGAAAGAAACGGAACAGGCTGCCTGCTCCATCTTCTCCCCTCCTCTCCGAGAGAAAGTGGAGGGCTGGTTTTAATGGATTGACTTTAATGGATTTTGAAGTCTGGAAAAGTGCCTAAATTGCTGAGGTTACTAGTTTTCCAGGTTCTTTTTTCAATTTCTTTCTCCTTAGTCAGACACAGAGTGAGCTCACAGGGGTACCGACTGTGGTCACCCCAGACCAGAGGAGGTCTCTTTCTGCCCCAGCCCCAGCAGGCAGAGCTCATTATTTCATTGGGTGAGAGCATTTGCTTGGTCCCGTCCCGGCAGTTGCTAGTGGCACACATTCTCTGATCTCAAAGGAGAACACCAACCAACAATACTAAACCTGTTCTGCTTTCTGGGATCCAAATGGCTCTACCTTAAAGCATATATATATTTTTTGGTCATTTTATTTTTCATTTGTCTCCATGTGAGTTTATGCAGGGACAATGTGTTCTGGGAAGTCTGAACTGCAATCCTGTCTTTTCTCCTTGTTTCTCCCCCTGTGGGCTGTGCCAGCCCTGAGAATTATGATGAGGTCTTTGAGACCATGAGTCTCCCCGTGAGGCCTTTGAAGAAAGGACAGCATTCCAGGCACCTCAAGGGGACTCTAGGCTATGTTTTAGCTCTGCTGTTGGACTCTCTCTCCATCCCTCCCATCTCCCAACATACATTCACATTTTTTTCTGTCCTTTCTTTCAAACTTGCCCACTGGTCTTTGTGATTTCAGAAAAAAAAAAAAATGCCACTGGATCTCCCAGTATGAAGGATTAGCACAGATTATGGGGAACAGTGTTAATTATCGGTGGAAGGGGGGCCGTCGCGTCGCTCCAATGTGCTCCTGATTTCCCCTGGGCCTTTCTGCCTGGTAATAAGCCTTCTTTAATCTGGCAGGCCCCTTAGTGAAATCAGCACCACGGACAGTAGTATTGATTGCTTCTGAGAAACCATCACAGCTGCTCAACCAAATTACCTTTGATATGTGACCTTTAATGTAATTACTGCAACATCAAAGTATTTCTATAAATTATTAAAGAACTAATACACTCCATCATTTAGCTATTCTGTTATATGTAAAATAAACAACCACAAGTTAATGTTAGATCCTGAACAATCCATGCTTGCTACTGAAATTCCCCCAGTCCTGGGCCTCTCCCTCTTCAAAATCCTAAACCTCCCCCTCCCACTTTCTCTTTCAGTTTCCCCATCTAATTCCAGGCTTTTAGCCATCACGAAACTCCCCAGCAATCTCTCTCAAGCTGATGAAGGGCCTCCCATATCAACGTAGTATTTTCTATTCCATTTGGGTGGCTCTAAAATATCTATCACAATCTCCCCCAAAACAAAGTACCATAAACAGTTTATTAATCAGCAGAAACCTTTCTCAGAAGCCTTTGATTATCTTACAATATGGCTTTATGCTTCACACATAACATGGGGCGATGTGGAGCATATTTCTGCCATCTTACAGAGGGCACCCAGAAAGTAATTACTATAATATATGTGCATGTAGCCGCGCCACTGAAAACCAACTGGGGAATGGCCACCGTGCCAGAGCCAGGCTCCACATAAAAACCAGTGCGGTGGACGATTTCCATACATTTGCATCCGCGGGTATGTTATTAAGATGACTCAGCCCCGTGCTTTGCAATCACAAATACCAAAATACAATACAAAGGCTGTCTTAATGGAAGAAAGGCCCTCCCCACCCCTGAACGGGTAAAGAAAGATCTTTGATACAAAGCAGAGGCTGCCCCCATAGGGGGTTGCTTTCCTCCGTCTACCTGGTTAACCTTTCCCGCTGTGGGGCAGAAATGGAAACGTGTGTTTACATACCATCGGCTTGGTAAGAATGTAAACATGCATGTGTAAACATTAGTGAGCATATAGATAGAACACACGTGCTTCCCTGCCGCGTCCATTGTACAATACAGCTTAAACACGGGCACGTTTATAAATTCCTTAGATTATGCCCACAAACACTCGCATCTTTCCATTTTTCTTTAGATACTAGGTGAGCTGTATATCTCAGCTCCCGCCTCCCACCCCCTCCCATCTCTCTGAACCCACAGGAGACACCAGGCAGACCCTTGACCTGAGGAACACTTCTTATTTTATGGTGATGAACTAGCCTCGATAATAGCCATGGCTGATATCACACCCAGTTAGGGGGGCCATAAATAATCCTCTTCTCCCCCGCACAGAAGCAGTAAACCAGGGCTGAGGCGCGACAGTTTATCAAAGCCGAGGGCTGGCTCCTTAAATAAACACGGTGATCTCACTCGGGCGCCAAGCCTGGATGGGAAGGCGCCCCCTCCCGCCCCGGACCCCACCCCTGAACAGTCCCTGTCCGAAGTCGATGGCTGGTGTTCAGGCGGCAGGGCCATGGGGGGGGGGGGGGGGCTCCGCGGGGAGGAGACAACTCCGGCTCCGGGGGCTCTGGACGCCCGGTGTGCCTGCCCGGGGCTGCCGGTACCGAGGAGAGACCCGACCAGCAGGGGAGGAGCCCCGCCGGAGATTCGTGGCCGCGGCCAAGCTCGCCCCTCCGCGGGGCTCCGCGGGGCCTGGACGGCCGAGTGCGGAGGCCACCTGGCGAGATCCGAGCTCGGCGCCCAGGAGTCCCGACCGCCGCTCCGCGCCTCGCGGCTTTTAGGGACCCGAAGGGCGGCGCGAGCTCCGGAGCCCAGGCGGGCGGCGCGTGCCTGGGATCGCGATCCCCCCGCCAGATGCGTCGCAGCCCAGTCTCCCGAAGTCGCCCCCTGTCGGCGCGTCCGTCGCTTGCGCCTCGGCGGGCGCCACTTACCCCGGGCAGGGTCTTCTGCTCGTGCAGCGCGCTCTGGGCCTTCAGCGCTGACTCACGCTCGCAGTAGGTGAGGAAAGCGCAGCCTAGGGAGGAAGCAAGCGCCGAGAGGGTCAGTGGGGCGCCCCCGGGCCGCCTACGCGCCCTCCCGCCGCCCTCCAGTCTCCAGCCCCTCCCTGCTCTCGGTGCCTCTCCCCACCTCTTTCTCTCCTGTGCACTCCACTCCAGCCTTCCTGCCTCTCCGTTTTCCTGCCTGTCTGCTTCTCGTCCCTCGCGTTGCTGTTCTCTTTGCTCCCTCGGCAAAATCTCCCCACCCTGCATCTTCCCCCCTCCACGTCCCCTCTCCCCGAGGGTCTCTTCCTGTTCCCATTCCCTGGTACCTCAGGTGCCTCTGCCCTCTCCCTTCCAACCTTTCTTCCTCCCTCCTTTCATCCCTTCCTCAGGGCGCTGTTCTGTCTGTTTCAGCTCCAGCCCCAATACCTCCCAAGGGCAGCTTTCATCCCTCACCCCCAGCACCTCTATTCACACTTGACCATGAACTCTTGTTCTGGCCTCCCTGAGGAGCGCTGCTGGCTGCTTCATCAAGGATGATGGAGGGACCCTGTTGGCCTTCCAAATAAAGGCTCCATCTGTAAGGAGGACCCCAGGCCAGGCTGTCCTAAGACAATGAATGGGCCTGTCCATGCATCCCATGCCCTGGCCCACTGTCACATTTGTAGTGATATCTTCACACTCCTCCCAGTCAGAGGGCTTCTTGGGTTTATGCAGCCCACCAATGTGCAAGCCTGGACCTGAGGCTGACCCTTGCTCTGCCTCTAATTCCCAGGATGGCCCCTGCAAATCACGGCTCTTGTCCTGCCTCAGTCTCCTCATGTGTGAACGGAGAGGTTTGCCCCCTGGGTCTCCAAGGTTCAGTCTAGTTTTCCCCTTGAGTGATTCTGACGGCGCCTCACCAGGAAATCTGGATATTAAGAGCACTGTGCCTGACTCAAGGGGTGACTTTTTAATGCTGGCTTTTCAGGCACAGTGACAAGGCAAAGAGAATGCTTGCTGATGGGAGAGTTTTTCTGAAAGTTCCCTCAAGCTGCCCAGTGTCAGGGGCCTTTTCCTCTGCCGCCGATGTGGTGAGTGTGACTTGGGAGGACTGCGAAGCCCAGGACCATAGGGAAAGTAAAAAAGCCAACTTTGGCCAACAGCAGGCTTGACTCCTGTGGGTAATAGTGGCCTCAAAATTTCCAATGCCACCTGTGGCCCCAGAAAAGGCCCCCTGCAGGCTGGCCACTTCCCTTGTTTCACTGTTTTCTTTCCCTCCCTTGTTTTACTCTCTCATTATCTTATCTGACCTCTCAACCACCTGTATTCACCACTATCACCCTTTCCTTTGCTCTCACAGTCTCCTCACTTGGTATGCCTCTCTCCCCAGTTTCACCCTCCCAATCCCATCTATCTTTCAAGAGTCTGATCAAGGCCCACCTCCTCCAGGCAGCCCTCCTTGACTGGTTTAGTCCATCTCAAGCACAGTCTCCCAAAGTTGCCCCCTTCTTCCTTAACCGTCTACATCTGACCATTTGGTCATTCTTATGACCATTTATCATCTGTTTCCTGAGTCCCATTGTGTGTCAGGTTCTGTGCCAGGACTGGTGGCCCCCTCTTTTCATGAGGCCTATAGGCTGGTGGTGCATCTGGTGCCAACACCATCCCTTGTCATCAGGTTTGCTCTGGCCTCTTATGTCCCCAGGTGCAGAATACTCCCAATGTCCCCTCCAGTTCCTGACACCCTCCACCACCCACTGAAACCCTTTTCTTCCTCTTCCAGTGTAGAAATCAGTTCTGCTTCCCTTCCCTTCCTAGCTTCAGAGAGGATTTTGGAAGAGAATATACTTGTGAGGGGGACATAGAAATGGGAGGGAGGAAGCAGGGAGAGAAAGCTGGGAGACAGAAACTCTCAGCTCCCCATGGGCTGTCTGCCTTTCCTGCCTCCAACTCCTGCTCCAGGCTAGGAGGAGCTGGAGTGCCAAAGAGCCTTCTCCCACTCCGTCTCACCCCTCCTACTCCGGCTCACCCCTCCCACTCCTGCTCATCCCTCCCCATCCGGACCCCATCACCCCTCCTCCTCTAGCCTCCCTGTTTCTTCCTCCTGGTCATGGCAGACGATTATTGATGGAGACACATGGGGGACTGAAATAAATAGCGGTCAGAGGCCCCCATGACGTCGTTCCCTTGCACTGCTGCCTGCCTCTCTGGGGGCCTCTTTCCTCCTGTCCCCTCTCTGGCCTTGTCCTTCGCCTATGCTTGCCTGCAACCGGGAGGCCGCCAATGTCTAGCTGCACACAGGCAAGCCAGCTCAGGACAAGGTCAGAGGCAGGTTTGGAGAGGGAGGAGGAAGGAGGAGGGAAGAGGAGGGCGAGGAGGGAGGGGAGGGAGGAGGAGGGGGAGAAAATGACCACATCGTTTTCATGGCCCAGGATAACAAGGAAAGAATTCCAGAAAAAAGAAAGAAGAAAAAGAATCTGTTGCTTTTGTCTTGTTCAGCTTCCAGGAATTTCTGCCACAGTTTTGTTTTTTTGTTTTTTTTCAGAGAGCTCACAGCTACATTTTGTACCAGAATCTTTAAGGGACCCCAGACCCTGTGTAACCTCCTGCTATTTCTACCCCTCAGCCCCACTTCCTTCCATTCACCCCTTTGCTCACCCCCTGGTCTCCTTCCTATTTCTCAGCCCTGCCAGGTACACTCTGTCTCAGGACCTTTGCACTGCTTGTGCCCTCTTCCCAGAATGACCCCCACCCCACTATTTGCGTGATTTGCTCCTTTAGTTCCCCAGGTTTCTGCTTATATGTGACCTCCACAGAGATGCCTCCCTGGACCACCTCATTTAACTTAGCAAGTGGCCCCCAACACATGCATACTCGGACCCCTTTTCATGAGTACTCTTCACTTTACTGAGGTCACTCCTGCTCTATTAATATTGTACATTTGCTCCTTGAGTAGCAGTCTCCCCACGCTCAGATGAGGTTTTGCTCCTGCTTGGTTTTCAGGGCCCAGAACAGGGCAGGAACTCAGCACACATCTGTCGCGAGCACTGGGTCCCGCACACCTTGGCTCTTTTGGAGGGACCGGTGAGAGGGAGGGGAGAACACAGAGGTGGTGTCCGAGGCTGCTGGGAGCTGATGAAGGCTCCAAGGACACTGGGACACACTGGACTTCCATAGTGGTAGGGGGCAGAGGTTGCCCGGGAGAGTTGATAGCTGTCCTGGTAGGGAGGGCTCTTGTCTCCAAGGCTTCCTCCAGCCCATTCTCCCAGCCAGTGTAGTTACTGTCACTGCCCTGCTCTCTCCTCGAAGTGATCGTCCCCTGCACAGACGATGCACAGTTCCAGACAGGAAGCTGTGCCCAGGTGGGCCCTTACCAACCAGGGGCCACTTACTGATTCCTCTCTTTGAACTCCCGTTTCCTCGTCATTCCCCTCAGTGGCTTGTGGGCAGACGTACTAGCCGATGAGTACCAACAACCTCTGCAGAGCTCTCTAATTGCAGAGTGTGAAGTAAACAAATTTGCTCTTGTGAAGCGGGAGGCAAGCGAGGCAGCATCTCCGCTGCCAGGAGACCAACCTTGCACAGAGGCAGCCTGGGGCAAATGCACCCCGGCCTTCTCGGACCATCTCTTCCGCCAGTCTGATGTTGTGTCTCACAGTCTACCTGAGAGATGAGTTGTCTCACTAGGGCTCTTTAAAAAGGCAGATACGGATAAGCAGTTACTAACGCTGACTCCTGGGTGCATGGAGAGACCACATCTGCTCACTTGCTGAAGGCAGAGCCCTGAGGGAATGGCAGCTTGGTGGTGGTGGGGAGGTTCACAAGGAGAGTTTGCCCTCACAGGTGTTTCAGAGCCTGGGGTGAAGGCCGAGGTGGGGAACTCAGGGTGGCCAGGAGAGAGGGTGCCCAAGCCTCACCTACTAGACTTTCACTGGCCTTTCATGTAGGGGCAGTGGGTAGTATACACAGAACTCCCCCACCCCCAAAACTACTTTTGACTTCCTGTCGCTCACTGCTGTTCCTCCCAGGAGCTGAGGAGGGCACTCTGAGCTGTGAGGGCGGGGCAGGGGCCACCACTCAGCAGTCCTCATCTGGCAATCACTGTCCTGTGGATGTGCTGAGGTGTCCCCCCAGAGACACACCCAGTGGAAATGGGATTTTCTCAGGGAGCAGCATCCCCATACAAGACAGTAGGGAAGAGAAGGCTGGCACCAGGCTCTGAACCTGAAGTCCCGAGAAGGTCTAAGAAGGAAGCACCGTTTCTGGGGATGAGCTGGTGGCACAGATATCTCTCTTCCTCCAGGCCCAGCAGCTCCCTTCCGAGGCCTGACCCTACAAGTACACTCGTACTTGTGCCCACAGGGGAGAGAGTAAGGGTCCCCTGTGGCTATTTGGCATAGCAGAAATTGAAAAGCACCTACAGGTCCCACTGTGCAGGGATGCGTTTTATGTCAGAGCAGTCTAAAAGGTGAAATGGTTCTACATGTACCAGCATGGAAAGAAACATTGTCAGAGGCGAAAAGCTGACTATGAAACCGCACCACGACACGTGTACACAACGGAGGCATGTTCCGAGTTCTGCATGTACTCAGCTCCGTGCTTGCACTGTAGCTCAAAGTCTGGAAGGGTCAGGCGGAGCTGAGAACAGGGAGTATGGGGGCTGGGGGTGTCTCCCATGACTTTAACTCTTTTTTGTCTTGTTGGACACATTTGGACACAGAATGTATTCATGTACCACTTGCATAATTAAAGATTTTTAAAATATGTGCTGAAAGAGGAGGATGGAAAAATGGGGGGTGAACCAGAATGGAAAAAATGGGTGAACCAGATAGGAGGCAGGACCCATGGTGCATTTGGAACAGACAATAATCATTGGGTATCAGCTTCCCAGCAAATTCTTCATGAGGGAACTGCATGATCATGGGTGTGTCCTGCTATGCCCTTGCCTCAAATCTTCCTTTGAGCTCTGGGAGCTGGAGCAGGCTCTCTCCGCCCAGCAAGCTATAAATGGCATTCATTTTGGTCCTGTGGCCCCAAGTTCCAGAAGCTGACG